AAATGCCTGTGAAATTAACAAAATGGTAAATAGTAAAAAGTTAGCTAAATTGTCATCAGGCACTCTCTCTGGGGAAGGCATTCGGTAACTAGGAGGCTAACACTCACAAGCAACCACTTGCCACACTTCTGAATGGGAAGGCACTTGGAGCATCACCTCCAATGATAATCCCAGGGAGCAAGGAAGTATATATGGGAAGCAGAAGGGAAAACTGTCTCCCTGCATGAGATCCTCTGATTTGTACCCATGCCACTTTTATGTGGGGGCAATACTTAGAATTTTACAGCACTGCCATTTGCAATCCTACACAGGTTTGGGCAACAAAGCGAAACCTACAGTTCCAGCAGTGGGAGCTGTAGGACTTTTTCTGTCTAAATGTGCATAGGATTGTGCCCTTAGAGTATTCAGAGCATTCTCCTGACAATCCAGATAATGCTACCAAACAAAGATTTGACAAACAGTGGCTTGCCTATAGATGTACAAGGTGAACAGGATTTAGACTGGTTCCTTCTTCACTCTTTCTACTCCAATACAGTTGTGTTTTTAGAGGAAAAATAGCAACAAACTCAAGCAATCCCTCTTTTCTTCTCCCCTCCACTTCCTTCCTCCTCCTGCACGCCCAGCTTGAAAGAGACAGGATTGTAGGCAGCCCTTAAAGCATTTTTTATTTCAGACAAATTATTGTGATTACATTTGTGATGTAGAAAATCAAAATGTTTGTTGAACAATCTATTTTCAATCATTTTTGCATTTTAATATTTTAATAAAACTATAAAGAAGAAAAATATAACTACACATTCTTGAATATATCAATTGCTACAAAGACATGAAAAGGGAGAGAATACAGCTTTCTAAAACTCAAATCCAGGCAGTCCACGTATCCATATATATGTCAATTTGGAAGTAGTGTCTATATATCACCCGTTCAAATATTAAAAGCATTTTAAAGTCCTCAGTGCTTTGCTTTACAGGAGATGAGTGCTTATCCTTCCAGTCTTTCAGCTGTCAAAAGCACACAGAATATTCATTTGCAAAGACTGAGCATTAGTGTCCAAGAAGCAGGTAGATATTTCAAGAGAATATGTGCATCGCAGTTGCAGTACAGATCTTATCTGTACAATAACCTTCTCTGCAAAAGAGGCAACTAACAAGCATTGCCAAAACATGTTATTAAAAGAAGCATTAAAGATGCTGTCCAATGCAGATGTACATATGCCTCCAATTTTTGAGGTTTATGAAGTCTAATCCTTGGAGCAAGGTGCAATGACAGCAGTTTACCATCTATCGGCCACCTAGATAAAGTGTCAGGTAGGGGAAAGATTGGAGGCTGGGGCATCAATACAAAACAGTGTACGCTGTTGTCCCAGCCCCTTCCCCCGTCACCCTCAGCATTCTCCTTTTCTGCATTTCTTTTCCAGCCACATATTCAGTATCCTCAGCTTGCAAGTTTCTTTCCATGTTGGCTATGAGGGAATGGGGTGGAAGCTTAGCCCTTGAAGTCTCAGTTTTGGGGTCATGGGATCTCAGAACTGTGGCTACAAATAATCTTATGGCCTCCACAGACCACAGTAGGAGGCCATAGGTTTGGACCCTATGTTAAAACTCCAGCAATTCACCAAGTTAAATAAGCCCTTGTTTAAAAGACCCCAGGGTGTCCAACAGACCCGAGCAAGAGGGGTTTCCCCCTGCTTTTTCTTCCTTCTGTAACCTGAGGTCGTAAACATAGCAGAAACAGATGCTAAAGCAGTAATGCTTTGATTAGGAAAAATGGGACAGTCCAGTTCCCTGTTCCATTCCTTCATAAGACCTTGGATATAATATTTATTCACCAATAAGTATTAATAAACAGGGACTGTGAGTTGTGCTTGCCAGTTAATATAGCTGAGAAGTTTCAGTAAGTGCTTCCAATCATGAAAGAGACTCTCAAGTTGGAGCAGTGGCAAGGTCAAACTTAGGCTCTAACACATGTTGCAATCGCAAGTTCAGCTGTAGCAGGTAAGTCAGATTTGGCATGCAAAGCAGGGAATGACAAAAGCTTATGATCAGCTCCCACTGATTGATCCAATATAGCAGGGGTCCTCAGACTTTTCCACCAGGGAGCCAGCTGAAAGCTGCCAGTGCTGGGCGCGGGCCGGAAAGGGGGTGCCGGTGGTGTGCACGGGGCGCGCACGCTGAGGCAGGGGCAGGGCACACGGCAAGGCAAAGTGAGGTGAGGTGTGGCCGGGTGCACGCGCCCAGCGAGGGGAGGCAAGGCGAGGCGAGGCGGGGATGGGATGGGATGGGCACGCACCGCGAGGTGGGCACATGAAGCAGCGGCTTGCTCCCTCGGAGACTGTTTTCTCTGAGCAAGCAAACTGCTGCCTCGCCACGCATAGGGCAAGGTGGGTGGCGGCAGCGGACGCGCACAGCAGGTCTAAATGGGCATGGCGGGCCAGATAAATGGGCATGGCGGGCCGGATCCGGCCCCAGGGCTGTAGTTAGAGGACCCATGCAATATAGAAATGAACTTAACCGTCCATGACCATCATAAAACCAGTTTCTTTCCCATTTTTAGCTATGGATTTTATCATAGAGTTGATTTAGTGTGAGGAAATGGACCAAAATCTTAATGATGTGCTATTTCTAATACTGTATTGAGAACCTAATGCCATCCAGACATTAGAAAGAGGATCCTGACATTAAGTTTCTAAAACTGACCAAGGTAGAAAATCTGATCTATAAGCAAAAGACCAAAACTTACATATCAGCAAATAAGCCTGATAATATCAAGCAAGATCCAGAAAGCCAAACTTGCCTTCTTTAATTGGAAGAGGCTTCCTTTGTGTAAAGGAGAAACTCCCCAAAATTTATGTAACATAGTGTTTACTTTATGTAAATATCTGTGAAGTATAGAGGAATCTCATATATAGCAGAAACAATCTGAGGTACAATATTCATCTTTCATTCATTTACCTTTTCCCAAAGATTGGCTTTAAACCCGTCCATCTATTCCTATCCTATGAGATCTCATTAATCAACTTATTCCACTTTAATTTGTACATTTGATATCTATCTATGGAAATAAGTATTTTCAAATAATTAGTAAGATCTGGGCACCATCAAAATTGCCAGTTTGCTAATATACTATGAGATACATTATCAAGTTAAAACTTTCATGTAAAAAGCCACAAATACTACTATTCTTGTCAATATTGCATGCTAGGGGTTTCAACATAAAACAATTATCAACAGAAAGTTGACATCCCTGTCTGAGGCCTGTAAATGAGCAAAGCTGCTCATCATTCTAGTTCATGGGATTTTATATAAAATTCTGACCCATTTCAAAAATTCTGCAGGAAAGGCAATATTACTCCATATGGCGAAAATAAATTCTTGATGAATTTTGCTGAAGACATTTTCAGCATTCAAGAAACACTAGCAATTACCAATATTCTATCAATATTTTAAGCTATCAGGTCAATTACCAAGATTATTGTCCCCCTGTCTGTATTTAACAAATCCTACTTGATCCACTCAAAACAGCATTGTGATAACTTGGTGCAATCTACCTACCAGAATTGTAGTTAATATTTTAATGCCCATATTAATTGCTGAAATAAGTTGCTAATTAGCATAATCAATATGATCCTTACTAAGCTTAGGAATCACTATAATATACGCATCATTTAAGCATGAAAAAAGGGTGCCCAGTTGAAAAATATGTTTTTATAAAGGTGATGAAGCTTTGGAACTAACAGGTTGGAAAGTGTTAAATCATGTTATTAAGGCATGAGCACAGAAGAAGGACAGTGCCATGAGCATGTTTCCTCCATTCCCCACCTTTTCCTTTCCAACAGACCAAAATGAAAGTTCATAAAATACAGTGTCTTATTGGAGCTGAGCAGCTTTTGCTGTGACACAAGGTGTTTTCTATAAGAACTGTTAATAAGTTGAATAAAGCAAAATAATGATCCCTCTGATCTGTGGAAGTACCTTCTGAGCCTGTGCAAAGTTGATTCTATGATGGAACAGCCTCCTTCTCCCTTCCATTTCCCAGAGTCTTGACTCCATCCTCAGGATGGTTCATGATGCTTGTGAGCCAAACAGAGGGAATGCCTGAAGTTCCATAATTGGCCTGCCCATTAGGCCTGGGGCCACTTCAGTGAGTCTAGGAATTCTTTGTCCTTCTCTTGTTCTGCATGGCTTCCCCCCATGCCCAAAATGGTTTCGTTCTCAGTCACTGCCTGACTAATCTTGTTTGTTAACCTTAACTTTTCAGAATCATCTGCCAATTCCTCCCCTTCCATCCCATTTATCTTGCATTCCAAATGTGAACGTCCTGGCTGGTAATATTGCAGTGTGAGAAAGTTGTCGTTCATGCAGTAGAAAACCACAAGCTGCTGCTGCAGAAGCAGTATTATTTCTAAACCAGGCCTTAGTCAGCATGCACCAATCTTTTGGGCTGGTGGACAAATCTGAAATTTTGACAAAGTGTTGTGGATACTCTCACGGAATGGTAGCTGTGGGGTTGAGGTTTGCCCATTCATACGATGGCTGCAATGGTAAGCAAAGCCAGCAAAAAAAGCTGGTGAGATTAAAAGAAAAGTGGAAGAACTTTGCCCAAGAACTTTGTACAAGGCAGAGGTGGAGTCTGAGTGCAAAACTACTCTTTTCAATGGAAATAATGTTAGTGCTGAAGAGCAGTTCCGACATGCCAGCCTTCCAGTTAAAAATCATACTTTTTAGAAATCTTAAAGAACAAGAAGAAGGTCAGGAGGGCAAGGGAGCCTACTGGGAGCCAAGAGAGGAATCCATTGCCCAACTGGTGCCTCCAGGCCCCATACTGGGAACCCAATCCTGCCTCAGCGGCTATGATTTTGCGGTTCCCAGCACAGCCATCCTTGTTCACACGCATTTCTGCTTGAACTCCTTGGTAGCACAGGATGTAAAATGATTACTCTCACAATGTGGTTTTGAAAGCCCTTTTGCAAACCCAGGTTTTTGAACATTGTATTTTTCAGAGTAACATCTCTAACTTTGACATTGTTATGGAGTCTGATGAGGGAACGTTCATGCCCACTGGCCTGGGTTTCACAGGCAGCAAGGAAGCTCGTAACATCATGAAGGAGATCATGAAACTGCTACAGCCCATCAATGTTACCAGTGTTTTTGAAAATGGTGAAGCGACTGACATTAAGTACTGGATGCAAGATGGAATACCAGGTGAGGTTCCTGAGTTCTGAAGTCTGCCAATTCCCATTCATCTACCACCTACGTGTCACTTTTTGTGGCAGAGTGGTGCTTGACAACAATTTTACTTCAATAGCTTTTTATCAGAAATTAAATATGGGTAAGCTACAGAAGCATGGATATAAATGTATGCTTGAGCTTTGTTTAAATTTTTTTTAGCTAATGCATGGGAAATATGCCAACAATCTTCTTTCAGGCTTTAGGTTTTATAATAATCTTTCCTAGAGCAATGGATTAAAAATAGCAGGACATTTCCTCTGCTTGAACAGAAGGAAAAAACATGCAAACTCAATATAACACATTGAAACACAGACATTTTCCCCTCCCTTATTCACATTAAATGGTTGGCCAGGATAAAAAATAAATACTGCACAACCCATGCACTCAGGGATGCAGGAAGTACTTTGGATATTACTTTGTGAGGGTGTGCACAGAAAACAACATTTGATTTGGAACTTGTTTCAAAGAGTGATTCTTAGTTCAGCGCTCAGGCTGACATTGAAGTGCTGCCATTTCAGTGTCCCAGGCTCTCTGGAAAGGTGGTGGATTCATACAGAGGCTTTCAGGTCATCGTTGCTGCTGGCTGATAGGGTTGGACCCAGGATCTGTTTCCATGATGAACAGTTTCCATGAATGGACGTCGCATCTGCCCGGTTTTGGGGATTGTGTGTCTCTCACACACTTATCGTAGCTTATTCTATTCAGCAGGGTCATCTGTTGTAGCAGTTTCAGGATGTTGGAGAGGGTCCTATAGGAGGAGAGGGTGGAGAACTCCATTTCCACCTGTCCAGTTTCACACAGCTACATCTGAATGCAACCTATTGTATGGGGGAGGGGAAGTCGTTCAAAGTTTGCAGGATGATGGAGACTGATGACTGTTAAAGAGATATGCAAGTCTGTTGTGCTGGTAACGTTGTCATAAGGAGAGCAAAAGGCAGCCCAAAGTTTGGAATTGGAACTGGAATTGGAATTGGAGGGAAATTTTCAGATATTTTTGAAAACAACTTGGTTTGCCAATCCCAGTTCCAAATCAAGTCAAGGGGCATTCAAACATAAGTAGAATTCACTCAGACCCAGATGTAATAAGCTATTTTCAGTGGCCCAGTTCTTTCTGAACAGCTGAAGAACTCCTTGGAATCAGATTATCTTTTAATAACTATAGAAACAACATTCTGTTCTTAATTTTAACATAAGTAGTCAACAAAGTGTGATTATGGGTGGCCTTTTCCTTTCTAGTAAATACAAGCCAAATTCACTTGCATGAAATAGAATCAATTAAATCTGATGTTCTTTTGATTTGTGTAGATCATCATCCCTGTGGGAACTAAGTTCATTATAGGGAGGTCTTTATTCGAGAAAGACTCCAATTTCTTTCAATTTGTCTTCATTCCTGAGCTCCAGATGCAGAGAACACATTTCTGTTATTCTGCATATGTTCTAACTAGCGGACTCTGCTCGATGCATCTGATGAGAGCATGGCACTGTGCATGCAGCTGCAAAACATTCTTGCTTGGTTGGTTTTCCCAGCAGGAAAGGCATGCTGGGAACCCAGCTAGACAAACTTTCCCATATTTGCAGCAAGTAAACAAAGCAATAGGTGCAAGAAAAAGAAGCCCATCCTGTTTGCTTTGATCAAATGAATCCTGAGAGAGAACTTCATGAAGGCAGCTTACTCCATCTTTTTCATGAAATGGTAGATTATCCTTTCATCTTCTTTTACCACTTGTGGTCATTTGTGAATTGCAAATAAAGAAGCAGAAAGAAGGAAATGACTTGCCTGAAATTTGCATATGCTAATTTATATGGCAAACTGCTCATTTGGAAGTAATTATTATACTGCCAATAAAAAATAGCACCACAATATGTTACACCATGACCAGGTGAGCTGTATGCCTTCTTCAGTCTGCTGTCCAGGTGCTGCCAATGAGCACTCTCTTCCTTCTGATGGGTCTTTATCTTTAAGCCACACCTGGACTGGAAGTACATGTATTCGAATCAGCTCAAAACGCTGCTATCCCTTCAAAAAGCAGGCTATCCTCTGCAAAAGGGGACACATGGACACCCTAGAAAAATTAAGGCATTTTGTCCGGACTGAGAAACAGCTCTAGTGACTGTGGGTGCTGAATATTTGAAGGCGCCAGCATGAACAGTGGCAGCACACACACCAGCCAATGGATGCAGATGCAAGGCTTCTACTTGCATAGCGTTTCATCCACAGGGGGAGACTCCTCAAATATACCCACCTGGAACCAGCCTTTTCAGACTGATGCTGCTCACAAGAGAGTGTGGCTGGGAAGTCTGGGGTCATCCCAAGGTGGGGCTGGTCCAGACTGTTCCTGCTGGCCCCTGAATAGGGCTTAGGTGGAGAGCAGGGGCACAGCTCTCACACTCTGCAGTCTGCCCAGATAGATCCATCTGATTCTGAGAAGGAAGTGAGGGGCAGAGCGGAGCGGATGACTTCAAGGCAAGGCTTTCAAACAGTGTGAAAACCAGCCTGCCTTGGAAAAGGAGGGAGACATTTCAGAACTTGGTGGAAGGAAATTGGGGCAGTTCCTTGATGCTGTCGGGAGAGGACAAGTAAATTGAGTGGGACAATTCAGAAGTGTCCAATGTCCCAAGTAGCCCCCAGCAGCAGGAGTCATTCTGTGTGTGGATTCAGAAACTTTTGTGAAAGAAGAGGAAGGAGGAGAAGCTTCTGTTTGAACTCGCCTCTTTACATGAGCAGATTGCTTCTCCCACAGAGAACACAACTTTGATATTACACTGTCCTGTAATCTATTAAGCTTAGGGGAAAGACTGTGCTTCTAAAATATCATATACATCTGCTGGACAGAAAAGAAGGAGGGAGAGATCTGTTCATGATTTTATGGGCTTACCAATTAGAAGCAACAGTCTCTTTATACAAGCCCTTGAAAAATCTTATGACTATATTAATGAGTTGTCAGGGCAGGGCAGGGAAGAGAAAGAGGAAGGATCAGTTCTACCATTAGACAAACTGGGGTGGCTGCTTAAATTTTGGGTATCATAAACAGTGCAGTAAAACGCTAGTTCTTTCTTTTGTCCTCATTGTGCTTTGATTTGTCCAGGAAGGTGGGAAGCACTTGTGGGGTTTTCTGCATCGTATTCCCAAGTAATTTGGTGGGCTTTGGATATTATACATGTTGACTCGGAGCTGGAGTGGCATTTGCTGTTCTGTCACAAGCAGCAAAATATTTTTAACTGGCCAGGGAAGTAAAGAATGAAATGTGCAGAGTGGAAGAAATAAAAAGGAAGAAAGGTTCTGATTGCTGAGTGGGAAGGGATTGCTCTGAATAAGGGAGGGTACAAGACATTGGGGAAGGACCACAACTCAGGGAAGCTTTGCACTGGGAATGTTCCCATTCATTCCTAGCATTTCCAGCTAGATTTCCATCGAAAAGTGGAGTTAGAAAGGACCTCTGTCTCTCAGAACTTGATGAGTCACTGGCAACCAGGAAAGACAAGACTGAGCTAGATAGATCAAAGGTCAGGCTCCATTGTTTCATGAGAGGTTTATTAGTCCAAGCCCATTTCATTAAGATGAGTGCCTCTTGGATAGAGTTTTTCTCCCCCACCCCACTCTTTTTTTTCAAAGGAAGCAAAATAGTAATGGGTGATAATCTGTAATAATGACGAGAAGCATAATCTGTACTTTTTCACAGTATTTTGAGAATGCATAAAAGTTAAATGTACAAACATCCATTTAAGCCTGTCTGAGAAAAGAAAAATCTCTAATACACCTTGATGATTGCAGGCTACAACTTCCCGGCCACGTATCCATCTGCTCATAATGACTTCACTAAAAGTACTATGGAGAAGTTGATAAAGATAATGGTGAATCGTTCACTGTGATATGAATGAAGCCATTAATGCTGAGGAACTCCTCTTGCCACAAGAAAAGTGGAAAGGCACACTAGCCTCATGACCTTTGATTCACCCCACAAGCCTTTCAACCAAGGCTATGTCTCATTTTACTTTACTCCTGTTAAAATTGCTATGCCCCCCGTCACCAGCAGAGGGAAGAGGTGACATATGCAGTTGTGAAACATTATTTCCTGTCTCTGAGTGAACCAGTGCACCTAAATAGGTAAAAGAGAATGGAGGGGATGAAGGTTCTTTGGGAAGAGCTATTACGACTTCTCACGATGGTGTTAGGGTTAGTTTCCTGGATCCTCCTGCTGGAGAAACTCTTACTGTGGGAAGAATTCCTCTTGCTCCTTGGTTTCCAGGCCAGCACTCCCATTAAGAGTGAAGCACCCACCACAGGCAGCAAAAGCAGGCAGTGGCGGCAGGAACCACCTGGCTGTTCTGTCTGAACTCCACCCTTAGGAGGTCCTCTCTGCTATTGAAGAACAGAATGTGGCCACTCCTGCAGTGGGCGACTCATCACCCATACCAAAGGAAGATTCCACCATTGCCATTCCAGATGGCTTCTGCGCTTGCTGGAGGAAGGCACCATCACCCTGACAACAAAATATTTGGGGCCAGCCTTGTTTCCAGGCTTGTCTCTGCTAATAAGTAACCAGTGGGTTACTTCTTCCTTGGCAGCCAACAGCATTAGCTGGGGCTATTGTATAGACCACATTCCAGCATGCCCTCATCCATTTTTGTTTTTCTTTTATTCAGCTTCAGGAACAGGCAAGAACCAGGCCTAGCATGCTAGAAGTAGTACTTATGCCAATGTGTGCTTCCTGAAGCTAGGCTAATAATAGAGAAGGGAGTGCTGAGACTTTTCTGCCCTTGTGCCTAGTTCCCACAGCCTGTTCTTCAGTAGTACTCGGAGGCCTGATTCTGATCCCTTTACATGACATCGCATTGCTCCTCTTTATTCCGGGCAGAAGGACAAAGGAACATAAGAGGAGCCACACTGGAGCAGACCAAGCGTTCCTCTAGCCCATTGTTTTGTTCCCACAGTGGCCGGCCAGCTTCCTGCAGGAGAGCCACGAGTTAAGGTA